TGGGTCATCTGGCAACCAGCCCCCACCCAAAAGCTGTCCAGGAGCCCACCAAGAATCTCATTAGCATGAAATCTCATTAGCATTCAACGAGATAACCATCACTCCAGAAATTCCAAGGATTTTAGAAGTTCTTGTGTCAGGAAACCAATGAAGAAGATATATTTCTTGGCCGGCACTGCGGCTCACTAGGCTAATCCTCCGCCTAGTGGCGCCGGCACACGGGGTTCTAGTCCCGGTCGGGGCGCCGGATTCTGTCCCAGTTGCCCCTCTTCCAGGCTAGCCCTCTGCTGTGGCCAGGGAGTGCAGTGGAGGATGGCCCAGGTGCTTGGGCCCTGCACCCCATGGGAGACCAGGAAAAGCACCTGGCTCCTGGCTCCTGCCATCGGATCAGCGCGGTACGCCGGCCGCAGCGCGCCGGCCGCGGCGGCCATTGGAGGGTGAACCAACGGCAAAAGGAAGACCTTTCTCTCTGTCTCTCTCTCTCACTGTCCACTCTGCCTGTCAAAAAAAAAAAAAAAAAAGAAGATATATTTCTTATTAATGCACAACGACAAAGAAATTTTAGTTGCGAAGTAGACATCTTCCATTAATTATTTCTTCCCACTAATTTTAACGAAAAAATAGAACTAAACCTTACATAATTAAAACCACAAACTATGTTTTAGCATACACCTCAGAAATTTGATTCTAAGAAATCAATAGGGACCGGCTCTGTGGTATAGCAGATAAAGTCACTGCCTGCAGGGCTGGTATCCCATATGGGCACCAGTTTGAGTCCTGGCTGTTCCACTTCTGATGCAGCTCCCTACTAATGTGCCTGGGAAAGCAGCAGAAGATGGCTCAAGTGCTTGGGCCCTTGAATCCATGTGAGAGATCCAGATGAAGCTCCTGGCTCCTGTCTTCAGTCTGGCCCAGCCAGCGGCCATTGTGGTCATTTGGGGAGTGAACCAGCAGATGGAAGATCTCTCTCTCTCTTTCTCTGTCTCTCTTGCTGCCTCTCCCTCTCTGTAACTCTATGTTTCAAATAAATAAATAAATAAATAAATATTTTTTTAAAAAATAAACATAAAATTCTCAACTGAAAAGTGAGCACAGATATTACATGTAAGAAATACAAAACAAAAAGACACCTCAAAAACAAGAACAAGAAAAAAAAAACCGGCCCCATTCAGGCTTTGGACAAACTCTGACCACTATCACAATCTAAACCTCCTCAGGTATTCAAACCATTGGCATTTCTTGCTTCCTTCTTCTTAAAGATTTGGAGATCAATTCCTGGTCACAGGAGGAGGTCTGTTATCAGGTTGCCAGAGATTTCCTGGCACACAGCACCTTGGCCCTTGTCCTTACTTAGAGTTGAATCTGATTTTCTCTCCCTCCTGACATTTCTTTCACCCATGACGTCAGTAATTCTACAACAAGGGAATGTAAAGCATGTCCATTACTAATTTCTTCTTCCACTAATGCACCACTTCCAAGTTTTCTTCTTATCTCAAATCTGATAAGACATGTTAGAATTATCTAAGTATTTTGATGGACAACTGAAACTTACTCTGATAATACCTTCTTTCTTTAAATTTTTAAAAACATTTATTTATTCAAAAGGCAGAGTTACAGAGAGGCAGAGGTAGAGAGAGTGAGAGGGTCTTCCATCCGCTGGTTCACTACCCATTTGGTTGCAACAGCTGGAGTTGAGCCAATCCTAAGTCAGAAGCCAGGAGCTTCTTCCGAGTCTTGCATGTGGGTGCAGGGGTCCAAGGAGTTGGGCCATCCTCCACTGCCTTCCCAGGCCATAGCAGAGAGTTGGATTGAAAGTGGAGCAGCCATATGGGCACCCATATGGGATGCCAGCACTGCAGGCCTTACCAGCTACGCCACAGCGGCCCTGATAATAACTTCTTAGTTCAGTTACATTCAGTTCCTTTCTCTCTCTCCAAATAACAATCCTGAATGATTACTTATTTAAAAATCCTGGATGATTATTAATTTTCCCCTGATATTCAGCTAACAGGCAAGCCATCGGACATATTTCCAAGTAAGTGTGTTAAAAGTGACAAGAATAAAGAGTTACAATTTTTAACACTAATCTGGTATTAAACTTCAGAGACACAGTGAAAAATGCTGTTCTGTATTCTTCCAGAATTTTAATGAAGATTTCCCATATAGTTTTCAATAGAAATATTTTTAAAAGTACACAATTCTTGGCCGGCACTGTGGCTCACTTGGCTAATCCTTTACCTGCAGCACCGGCACCCGGGGTTCTAGTCCTGGTTGAGACGCCAGGTACTAGTCCCAGTTGCTTCTCTTCCAGTCCAGCTCTTTGCTGTGGCCCAGGAGGGCAGCGGAGGATGGCCCAAGTGCTTGGGTCCCTGCACCCACATGGGAGACCAGGAGGAAGCACCAGGCTCCTGGCTTCAGATCAGCGCAGTGCCGGCCATAGCGGCCATTAGGGGAGTGAACCAACAGAAGGAAGATTTTTCTCTCTGTCTCTCTCTCTGTCTAACTCTGCCTGTAAAAAAAAAAAAAAAAAAAAAAAAAAAAAAAAAAAGTACACAGTTGTGTTGGGTTTTTCAAAATATTTTGAAGTACAAAATAGCAACCATTCTTCAAACAAGGATGATCTTCTTTTGCTATAATCTTCAGCAAAATATAAATCTCTCTGTTACTAAATTGACATTTTCCTTCACCACCAAGTTGTCTACAATGACTTGAGCCTATGATAACCTCTGCCTTCCAGAATCATAACAGTTATTGCCAATATCCAGCCACTGGGTATATGTCTAAGATCTTGATCTTATGTGTGGGTCCCCAATTGTTTTACATGTATATCTTTTATCTTGTTAAACTCTAAGCTTCTCAAAAAAGGACAACCATACTTTTTATTTATCTAGCACTTACCACTATCTAATGCTACACAAGCCTGCACTTCATGTAAGAAACTAAGTGGTACATATATTTAACATGCAGTGCTGTCTTTGAAGTGTTGTTTCTGCACTTAGGATAGCCCTGTAAGTCTGGGTGTTGACAGGTAGAGAGAATCAAGTTTTAGAAAACCTAGGTAGAACACTCATCACATTCAAAAAATAAAAAGGAGAAATTAGACACTGATGTGAAAATTGTTTTGTCTTCTCTAATAACCACAGCTGCCACTGTCCCCTACTCCCTCTGCTCCCCCTGTCCCCACAAACACACCCCAAATTGAAAGGCACAAAAGACTGGATAACCCATGCAAAACATGCAAAATTAAATTACCCTAGATAGTTATATTTTTCGCCCAAAGTTTCCATTTTGAAAAAGACAGAAAAAAATAAGGAAGGAAGATAATATTTGGAAGTTTACCTACCACCTTCCAGATATACCCCTAGTCATTTTATTGTGTTATATCTGGCATTATCCATATTTTGCCAATAAAACAACTGAGTTTAAGTAGGTTACCTAGATTCAAAGCCCCTGCCCCCCTTTCCTGATAGATTCAGTTGGAGTTTGTTCCACATTCAGTCACTCATTGAGAAAATATTGAGCTTTTTTAACAAGGCCGTCACCACTGTAGACATAAGACTTGAAAGCATGCAACACAGGCCACACCCTATTCTTACAGAACTGATATTGAACAAATACCTAAAGAGGATAATTTCAGAGTTGTAACAGCTTCCAAATATGATTTGTGTGCAATGGTGATCTAATCTTTTAAAGTATCTGCAATGAGACCAAGCAGCTATGGAAACTAAATTGGGGAGAGAAAGTAGAACCCACTGAAAACTGGAAACACTGTGGCCTTGTTGTCAGTTACTGAACCAAGCCAATGCATCTTGTAAAAAATCAAAGGGAAGGGAAAGGAAGTACTTGTAATGCTGCTTAGAATTTCCTTACAAAAGAAAGTGACTGTCTGAGCTATCAGAATGGATTGTGCCAGCAATGTGGATTCTCAACCCAAAAAGCCCATCTTTTGTCCCTTACTCACTAAGCTATTCCTACATTATACGAAGAGTTGATTTGATAAAAACCAAGGGAGTTTTGTGATTTGACATATATAACGCAGCTGTCCACAACACAGAGTTCACCAGGAGACCCCACATAGTATCCACTGGCCAAGGCGCCTGTCTCTCACAGGAGTATCATGGCCAGTTGGAACTGTAGGACGCAAAGACTAGAATGGACATTAGCTACCAACAAGTGTCTCTGCCCAGAATGGCTGTTATTGTTAACCATCCCTATTCAAACAAAAAACTTCACATCTCTTGATTTGGAGCAAACACAACACACAGTTGTTTGAAGCAATACAGACTCAGTGGAACATACCAACCGCTTTCTCTCACTTACACAAGTTCACTAAATTAGCTGCTTCCTATGATATTGCTAATGAGTTGAGTAATTTGGGCTACCCAGAACACTTACACTTCATGATAATCTCTAAAGTACTTTGCGACTCTTGAGGAAGGCAGTCTCAGGAAGCAGCAACTCCTCTGCATACGCTGAAAGCCAGTCTAGGAGCAGAGTTTATTTCACCCAGCTGCACCCTCCTACCAAAGAATGCTCTGCAAACCTACTTTTGCTGGTAGAAGTCACTACGTGGGGAATGGAGGCTGACTCAAGTTCATCAGTGTGCACCTTCCATTTCCTACGGGGACTGTCACATTCAAGCATCTGAGTTTCTTGAAAGCTTCAGCCCCATTTCAGAGCCGTTCCCACCCTCGCTTCAGAAGAGAGCAACACTCCTTCTCATCAGGACAAACTAAAAAGTTTGCGCAAACTTTGAATGAAACACCAACTCTCGCCACTGTACTGAGTGTGCTGCGAATCGATTACACCTCAAAACAGAAACAGCTAAACCGTAGGTAAGAATCAGCCCATCTTCTGTCGATGAGGGGGAAATTCGAAATCCTTCCCCAGCTTCCCGCCACCACCCACAGCACCACCGGAATCCCAGAAGACGAGCGGGGTCAGAGAGGGATCACTCCCCCCAGGGAGTCTGATTCGGGGGTCTCCCGGGAAGCACACACCTGACACTGATCCTCACGAGCGAGGGGACGGTCGGCGGGAGCACCAGCTTCCTCCAGCCAGGACAGAATCTGCCTCCTCCCAGGATCAGAGCCTCGGCCCCGGGGCCCGCAGCTAGGCGCGGGGGTGTCACTCGGGTCAGGCTGGGCGAGTGTAACCCGAAGCGCCCTGCGCCGCCGCGCCCCCGCCTCCCGGGCGACTTCCTCCTCCCGCGCCGCCGCCTCCTCCCTCGCGGAGCCCCGACCCCGGCGGCTCGGCAGCCGCACGCAGCGCGCAGATCTCGGGCCCCGGCGCCTCCGGCCCAGCGGGGAAACGCGGAAGTGGAGGCGGGAACCCGGGCCTAGTGTGGGGAGGAGGGCGAGCCAGGTCCCGGCTGCCCAGGGAACGCGACTAGACTGGGCCATCGGGCACGGGGCCTGCCGGGTGGGGCCGCGCCACCGCCGGTGCCAAGGCCCTCGCCTCGGGCGGCGGACGCAGCGCGCCGCTAAGCCAGCTGGCGGGCGCAAGGGCAGGAAAGCCGGGGCTGAGCTGGGCCGGGGAAGCCGGAGGAGGTATCTGATGTCCTGAGCCCTCCCCCACGCCGGCCACCCTCGCCATCTGCCCGGGAGCGGGGAGACACTCGCCCGCCTGCACGCGGCGGCGCTGGCTCACCTGATGCCTCGTCGCCTGCCCCCAAATCTGGCCTCCCCTAGTCGGCACCTCCAGGTACGCCGGCTTCCCTGGGCCTAGAAACGCGTCGAGAAGGCGGGTGGACCCCTGGGACCTCGCCGTCAGAGCCCAGAGCCCTGGCCCGGGCTCACGGCGCGTGCTCTGGAGATGCGCCAGGCCTCCTGACCCCGCGCCTGAATGTCAGCGTGGAGACACGCTGGGAAGACCAAGCCCAAGCACCGGGCGGGTTGGGGTGTTGAGCACAGGCTCCTCAGGCCCGGCCTCGTACAGGTGGGGGGAGGCGCAGAGCCGGGCAGCCGAGCAGCAGGCTTCCCATTTGCACCCCCCCCCAAAACCCGACCCTGCCCACTGAGCATGCCCAGCACACTTGTTGCCACTGCAAGGGCTAAGGGGGCCCTAAGAGGGCGCAGATGGGGTTCAAATGGACCCCGCTTCTTTCAGACCTTTCTTCTAGGTGCTGTACTAATAAATTGTTTCTGTCGTGATATTGGAAAATACCTGGAGGTGGTCGGAAAGGTCTTCCAAAGGAAGGCAGCCAAAATAGTTTGACTGGAAATCGCAGCGGTTGTTTTAATCGACTCTTAATGTCCTTAGATACCGCAGAATTATAGCAATTTACGAAGATGTATGGACTCTGTTAGGTCCCAAGCTCAGCTCCTGCAGAAAACCAAGAGAATCTATCCAATGCAACAGTGGTTCTTAGCCTTGAATACACATTAAAATGAGACGGGTGGATTAAAATGGAGGTGTGGATGGATGTTAAAACATTATTGATGCCAGATTTCCATCCCCAGCCTGTGGAATCAGTCTGAAGGTAGCGTGAGAAAATCCCTCAAAGGTTCTGAGTGTAGCCATGGAGGCCCACAGCATCACCACCACCTACGACCTTTGGGTCTGGGTCTGGGTCTGGGTCTGGGACAAAGCAGGTTTAACAAATAGTTCAGGCAGGTATGGTGCGCACTGCACTTCGAGAGCTACTGTTTGAAAGCTCCCCTAGAAGAGTCTAAGTTGAGAACCCTTGTAATGGACCAATGCCTTTCATATTTTTCTCTCAAATCCCAGACATCTGTCCAGAAGTATACCATGTTACCCACAAAAGGAATAATCTAGTTGAAATGGGTGCCAGTCCTGGATTTCCTTCCCACCGGTTCTAGAACAGTTCAGTTCTTGGAAAATGAGAAGCAACTGCCACGTTGGTACTTGGGTGCCAAGTGCAGTGCCTGTATCATAACAGATGTTTAAGTTCTACTGTTTTGAAATGAATGTTCATTCTCGGTCCTACTATGCCTGTTGCCCCCAAGTCCTGGTCACCTAGGTACCAGGCCAAAAGTGAGTCATTCTCATCAATAACACATGATGATCTGTGAGACTCTGAGACTGACTTACAGAGGTAGGACTTTCAGGAGGAGGTATTTGGGGTCCAAAGCAAGCAAAGGAAAGCAGCAGGAAGACAGGCATCTAGAGTTTAGAAAGGGAACAGATGGAAAAGGTGTGTGTGGAAGCCCAGTAAAAGAGGAGAAACAAGGAAGCTGATCAGACCACAATTTACCTTGACTCTTCTGGCTCAATACCTCCAGCCTCTGGGGCTGGCACTGTGGCATAACAGTTAAAGCTCCAGCCTACAGTGCCCACATCCCAAATGGGTGCCAAGTTGGTCCCAGCTGCTCGGCTCCAGGTCCAGCTCCCTGCTAATGCACCTGAGAAAGCAGCAAAAGATGGTATAAGTCCTTGGGCCCCTGCACCCACGTGGGAGACCCAGAGAAAGCTCCTGGCTCCTGGCTTCAGATCGGCCCAGCTTCAGCCATTGTGCCATTTGGGGAGTGAACCAGCAAATGGAAGATTCTCTCTCTCTCTCTCTCTCTCTTTCTCTCTCTGCCTCTCTGTAACACTTCCTTTCAAATAAATAAAATAAAACCAGCATCTGATCCGTATTTCCCATATTTCCCCACACTCCAGACTCATGTCTAATCTCAAAATTGCCTTGAATAAAAGAAAACAGCGAATTTTTGTATAGCAGATACTTTGATTTACTGGGTGAAAACATTGCTATCTTTTAATAACTCAGAGCATAAGCTATTTAAAGCATATAACAAGTTAATTTTTAAAAATGAACACTAGATCATTTCAAAATGTGGAGGTTTATGATACTTCTGTAAGATCCAACAGCAACTTCTAAAATAAAGTTATTCCCTATTTACTCTATCAGTATTGTCTAAAGCAAATAAAATATAAAAATGCAGTGCTTTTTTTTATTAACCTAGTAGATAATGCTTCAAAATATTTTTAAAAGGTGCTATTTGTGAATACCTGAAGTAATGTTCCACCTCCCTATGTCGGCGCATGTGTCACAATAAACTCAGGATGGAGCTGCTCCTCTTATTATAATAATAAGATCATAAACACTGACAGAGTTTAGTTGCTGACTAGAGTATCTAACGGGAGCACAATTTCCCATGTGCCTAAGCAATTTCTCTTCCATTATTAATTTTATGAGGGGATGGAGCATATCATTAATTTAGGAATTGCTCTTCTGAATTACCTATTACACTTGATACACAAATAACATTTTGTAAAAACTTCTTCTCTCAACAAGCACTTGCTACTGCTGCATTTTTGCTCATGGCATTAAAACAAAGCCAAACAAATAAACGGGTTTAAAACTAAAAGGAGAAGAAACTGAGTAGGGTTATGGCAAAGGACCGTATCAAGTTTAAAACATGAATTATTTCAGCAGAGGGAAATCTACTGAAGACCTAGTTCTCAGGGAAGTTCCAGTCTTAAGTGTTTCTCCTTGCCATCATAAGCGTGAGTCAGCATTTGGAATGAAACTGTGTTTACCCTCTTGTAGACTACCAGTGTCAAATATCTTTGGTGCCACCTCTTTTCTCCTGTGCCTAAGAAAACTTCAGGACAGTCATGGATTTTCACTCTCACTTGGCTACAAAAATCTGCAGTTTTCCCCCTTTTCATTCACCCCTATCTTACCAATGCCCGAGTTTGCCTATCACGTAGTTATCTTGCTTATGTAGTATTATCTGGTGAATTTACAGGATTACCTATACCTAGTAGGACAGAAACACTGAGAAGCCCTTCCCTTCCCAAGCCTAGAGAGTGCTAAGTGTTTCTAAGACATCCTAAACCCTGCTGCTGGGGGTAGACTCTTCCCAACAGGGGGAGCTTCCATTAATGCAACCTAAAAGACCACTTGGTTTTGTTCTTCTCCATTTCTGGAGATAAAGAAGTTTTCTCTGTAGCCAAGTAAGTGTTCATAGTTTATCAAAGCTCATAAAAATATTTTTGGGATATCAGAATTGAAGGGAACCATAAATGTGCTTCACCTCTACACCTGTATTTTTACCAATGATGAAACAAAGGCTCAGAGGTATTAAGTGACTTACCTAAGGTTACAGAATTCGCTAAACATAGAATAAGACTAAAAAGAGGAACTGCTTGGTATCCAGCACCCGGTGTGGGCTTCAGACTCATCCTGTTGAAGGTTCTTCAGCCATGGTGTGGTTCTCTAACTTCCCAAGATACGCATCCTCATCAGTGAGGGATCTTACAAGTGAACATTCACATACTGTTGACTTTGTGCCAGGCACTAGTCTTAACATGCAATTTTTAGTCCTCAGAACCATCTATGAGGTTTGTCTCTATCTTTTCGATGGGGAGAGGAGAAGGAAGTTGCTTCATTTTGTTTGACAAAAGGGAAAATTGAGGTACAACACTATTAAGTAACATGCCCAAGATAACATAGTTTGTATATGGCCAAACTGGGATTGAATGGAATGATATATGTAAAATGCCTAACATATCACAAAAGTTTCAGTATTGTCAGTTCCCTTCTCCAAGCCAGGGGCATTTTGACTCCTGGTCCAATATTTGCCAAAAGAATTGTGTTCTAGCCGGCGCCGTGGCTCAATAGGCTAATCCTCCACCTTGCGGCGCCGGCACACCGGGTTCTAGTCCCGGTCGGGGCGCCGGATTCTGTCCCGGTTGCCCCTCTTCCAGGCCAGCTCTCTGCTATGGCCAGGGAGTGCAGTGGAGGATGGCCCAGGTGCTTGGGCCCTGCACCCCATGGGAGACCAGGAAAAGCACCTGGATCCTGGCTCCTGCCATCGGATCAGCACGGTGCGCCGGCTGCAGCGGCGGCCATTGGAGGGTGAACCAACGGCAAAGGAAGACCTTTCTCTCTGTCTCTCTCTCACTGTCCACTCTGCCTGTCAAAAAATAAAAAAAAAAAAAAAAAAAAGAATTGTGTTCTGAGCTCTGTATGTTCACATATTTCTTCCATTATTTTCTTTACCTTTGGTTCATGTAAGTAGTGAGCATAAATTAGAATGTACTGTATATGCTATATTCTTACCCATTGTTATTCACAGTTGCAAACACTAAGAAGCTAACCAAAAATTAAACAAAGACCAAAAGTTTCCTACTTACAAATTTAAAAACTACTTAAGAGTTTCCAAGAGATTAACAATGCTATTCAGGAAA